AACATTTCCCATGTTCTGTTCGTATAATTTATTTCCAGTACTGCTATTTGACTAGCTTTCTAGTATTTCCATCTTTTCATCGCCAGTAGCTTTCCTCTTTCTTCAATTTTCTCTGGCATCTTTGTGATCACAGAGCCCATTTTAGCCTTATATAATAATCCATACTACTATTTCTCTAGTGTTTCCTAGCAGTTCTTCCTCTTCTCAGAGCTCTTATACACAATTCAGGTATCTATACTTTTCAAAAATTTTAAATGTTTGATTAATAAAATGAATTTCAAAACCACAGAAAATTCTTCGATTAAATAAACACTGAGAAGTACCCACGAATTTCATAAAGACATTACCCACTTGCCATGTCAGTATTAATGTTTGTAAATTGACAGGCAGAGTTATCACGTACTTCCTGGATGTGGGCCTGTGCTCTGACTGGCGAAACCTGTACTAAGTTCAACCTCTGTAAACATTCCTCAGCATTTCAAAAAAATATTGTATAATAACCTTGAGCATTGTGCTTAATAAATAGCCAGGCATTGTACTAAACATGTTATACAAATGAATTTATTAATTCTCGCAAAACACTCCAAGAGGTAAATGCTGTCAGTATCTCCATTTTGCAGATCAGAAAAAAAACTGAGCAGTAGAGAGATTAGACATCTCGTCCAACTCACCCAGGAGCAAACAAATAGCAGCACTGGAATTTAACCCAGTCTGAGGCTGATTCCAAAGCCATCTAACTAATAAATAGGTAGATAGATATACGGATGGGCAGATAGAGGGATGGATGGATGGAGGGATGGATGGATACACATAGAGACAGTGAATACCCTTTGCCTACTACTGCTGACACACAGAGGTCCAGCATGCTGTCCTTTTAAGCCAGGCAGGCCAGCAGATGGGCAATCAGCAGGATACAGATTTAAAACCCAGAGCAAAAGCTGCAGAACACACAGTTCTGGGGTTTCTGCACAACCTCTACAAGCAGGTAGCAGCCAAACACATTCTCCAATCTCTTTTACGGAACACAATGTGGGTAAAATTGCTCTCCGTAGTTGCAGAATTTTGTTTTTCCCCTTTCCTAGTTACTGATGAAGAGACAGTTTCAGATGCTCTGGAGAGAAGCTCTCTATCCTCTCAAGACTCTCAGCAGCCCACTAGTACTGGTAAGTGCCGAAACCATTAAGCCTTTATTTAAAAAAATTGTGCCTCCTTGGGAAGGTCACTTTTCTAAGTTTTAAGAATATTTTTATTTTCATTTTTAATAAGACCACACAGGCCCCCTTCAACTGGCTCCTGCCTTGCAGTGCCCTAGAGTAAAAGCACGTCAGGAGTACTTGCTTAGTGGGATGGGCTCCAGGATAACATAAA